TGAAAAGTCAGTGGTTCAACCACAGTGGCAATGGATGCAGTGCAAAGCAGTATGATTGATCCACATCAATCATTAGACAGTCATAAAAAACAAGAAAGTGTGTCATGCTTGCTATACTGGTGGATGGTGGACACTAACTCAGGGTAGATTCCTGCAGTCCATCATATGCATTGACTCAGGGAATCCTCCAGAGACCAGAGGCAGTGTTTAATACCAGTGTGACAGTCACCTACTAAAGACATGCAGATCTGCAGTTCACTCATCCCTGCCCAGGCCTGAGCTGCTGAGATGATTTCAACCCTTCAGAAGGCAGTGCACAGGTATTAGTGTCTGTCAGTCACTCTCCAAAGAGGCCAGATGAAGCAAAAGATTAGAAAGCGTAAAGTGAGATAGACTTTGACAGTGAACAGATAGCCTTTCTGTTTCCCTGTCTTGAAAATGTCAGTGTCACAACCTGTACTAAGCATGTTGTGGTGGTTGCTTGCTGCCATTGAGTTGGCCCCCTCCTCGTGTCAGCTCTAGTCACAAAGGAACTAAATGCTCCCTGGACCAGTGCTGTCCCCATGATCACTTGCCAGTTGGACCATTGCGATCATTGATTTTCGTTAGCTGAGTTTCAGAAGTGGATCACTAGACCTTTCTTTCCAGACCATCTTAATCTGGAAGCTTCACTGAAACCTGTTCAGTAACATAGCAGCACATGAAACTCCAGTGATAGGTGTGTGGTGGCCCCACATGAAGTGTATTGGCTGGAAATGAAACTTGGGAAGACAAGAATTCTACCATCGAATGCTCCCAGTACTCAACATGTTGAGTCAATTTTGACTCATAGCAGCCCATGTTAACAGAATACAACACCCCATAGGTTTTTCTAGGCTGTAATCTTTACAGAAGGTGAATTGGTGGCACAGTAATTAAGTGCTCTTCTGCTATGTGCACTTTGAACCCATCAGCCACTTCATGGGAGAAAGATGTAGCAGTCTGCTTCCATAAAGATTACAGTCTTGGAAACCCTACAGGGCAGTTCTCCTCTGTCCTACAGTGTTGCTATGAGTCAGAATTGACCCAGCAGCAATGAGTTTGGTTTGGTTTTAATCAGTATGGGAGCAGATCACCAGGTCTTTCTACAGAGTCACTGTTAGTTTCCAACTGTCAACCTTTCAGTTAGCAGCTAAGCACCATTATGCTAGCAGGGCTTCTTGTATTCAACATAAATGGAGCTTAAAATATGGGTCTCCCATGTTGTTGTTGTTATGTGCTGTCAAGTCAGACCGACTCATAGTGACCCCTCCTTGGGGTTCCGAGGCAATATCACTACGGAAGTAGATTGCCCCATCTTCCTTCCAAGGAGTGACTGGTGGGTTTGAACCACCAGCCTTCTGGTTAGCAGTCAAGTGTCTTAGGCACTACGCTACATGGAAGGTGAAAGTTCTACCACTGAACCACCACTGCCCGCAAAGAGACTAATAGGCAATGAAAATCAGTCAATGGTATTTGCTGAATTTCCCTAAAATTCAAGTAATCATTGCAGGTATCTAAAGAGGATAGGGAAATAAATGAATTAACATCTTTAGCATCTACCTCTGCCTCTCTTTCCACATTCATATCTCTGTTCATTTCTTCATCTCCAAGATGATCACAAATATAAAACACACCATCTAAAATAGATGGACCTCTTTGATCTCTATATGGCATATTCCTTATTAGTTACTCTTTTACCATCCAAGAAACAATTACTTCTCCATTTTTTTCACCCATCCTGGGAGTTTTGAAGTGTTAACACTGCTTTACAGTGTCAGTGGGATACACCTCTTAGAGTTGCTCTATTTCAGAGGCACAGTCCAGTTCAGAGTCTCATAACCTCATGGTTAGGTGGCTTCAGTGGCCTCTGGGCTATCCCCTTGAAAGACCAGCTTTATTCTCTCCTCAGTCCACATACTGCCATTGCCACAGAAATGCCTCTCAAACACATTTTTCTTGTCATTTCACTCATGCCTTAACAAAGAAACTACTCTGCCTTCATTGTATCTGTTCTAACATCTATGTCTGGCCTGCAAGCTATCTGCTAACTCTGCCTCCTACATTTCACCAAGAGTATTCTTCAAATTCCTTTCCATTCTAGGAAAACAATGTGCATTTCCCATCACTCCATGTGTTTCATTGCGTATATCATCCTCCTAATATTCCTAATTGTATACTCACTCACTCATCCTACCGTTTTTTTTTTTTTTTTATTTCTCTTCATCCATGACCATCTCTTGTTTCCGAATTCTTATTAAAAATTCATTCTAAGTCCCTGCACATAGACTAGGATGCTGTCATTCAAACAGAACAAGGGGATACTGCATGGTTTAGAATCAGGAAGGGTGTGTGTCAGGGTTGTATCCTTTCACCATACTTATTCAACCTGTATGCTGAGCAAACAATCCAAGAAACGACTATAGGAAGAAGAATGCAACCTGCAATATGCAGACAACACAGTCTTGCTTACTGAAAGTGAAGATGACTCGAAGCACTTACTGATGAAGATTACAGACTACAGTCTGAGTATGGAGTACACCACAACATAAAAAATCCTCACAATTGGACCAGTAAGCATGAACACGATAAATGGAGAAAAGATTGAAGTTGTCGAAGATCTCATATTACCTAGATCCACAATCAACACTCATGGAAGCTGCAGTCAAGAAATCAGATGTTATATTGCACTTGACAAATCTACTGCAAAAGACCTCTTTAAAGTGCTGAAGAGCAAAGATGTGTCTTTGAAGACGAAGGTGTACCTAACCCAAGCCATGGTATTTTCAGTAGCTGCATATTCATGTGAAAGCAGGACAGTGAAAAAGGAAGACTGAAGAAGAGTTGATGCTTTTGAGTTGTGGTGTTGGCAAAGAACACTGAAAGTACCATACACTGCCAGAAGAACAAACAAATCTGTCCTGGAAAAAAGTGCAGCCGAAATGCTATTTGGAAGCAAGGAGACTAGATTTCGTCTCATTACTTTGGTCGTCACTATGAGTTGGAGACGACTTGGTGGCACCTAATAACAACAGACAACACTTTCGTCATATTGTCAGAAGGGACCATTCTCTAGAGAAGGATAACATGCTTGGTAAAGTGGAGGGTCAGTGAAAAAGGTGAAGGCCCGCAACAAGATGGATTGACACAGTGGCTGCAACAAAGGGCTCAGGTATAGCAGGGATTGTGAGGCTGGCGCGGGACTGGGCAGTGTTTCATTCTGGGTAGTTGTACATGGGCGAGCTATGAGTCAGAGTCAACTTGACAGCACCTAACAGCAACAACAACCAAGTCCCAACTGTACTTAAATGTACAACTACTGCTGTATTTCTGTGTCACTTTGCAAATATCCCCAAGGGATTTTTATGTGTGCGTTCTCTTTTAGATACTTTACTACTGAAAACAAAAACCAAACAGTTGCCATGGAGCCAGGTCTGACTCATAGCAATCCCATGTGTGTCAGAGTAGAACTGTGCTTCAGAGGTTTTTCAGTGACTGATTTCTCAGCAGTTGATCACCAGGTGATCTTTCCAGTTGCTTCTGAGTGGACTCGGAACCTCCAACATTTCTGTTAGCAGCTGAGCAAGTTAGCTGTTTACACCATCCAGGGACTCTGCTGAAGACACAGGCAGACAATTCTCCATTTCTTTTGTTAATACTACAGTTTGGGGAATCAGCCCAGAGTATGGAGCTTGCTATAATGTCCAGCATGAAATGGGTGCTCACTACACATTTTTTATCTATAACAAAAGAGGTTGCTTGATCCCCTGAAGACAACCAGAAGAGAAAAAGCAGTTTTGGATGTTCCCAACTGAAGCATATTTTAGGGAGCTCTAATGAGACTAAATTAGAAAACCTTCCTCTTGTTCTTGCAAGCTACATGTGAACAGCAAAAACAACTACATGAAAAAAATCAGGAATGTTGCTAACTGTGGCTGCTTGGACTTTTGCACACTGCTTCTAGGCTCTGAATGCTTGCCTGGCTTGCATTATGATTTTCATCCTTTCTGGAACACTACATAGATTTTCTCCTTTTCTTTGGACGAAGTGGGACCTGTTGGAAATCTGAGGTTTCAGGATTCAAATGCAGTGGCCTTGGCTGTAGTGCTCTGTAGTGCATTTCTTGACAAGTCCTGAAAAGACTATTGAATTCTGGCCTCTGCTTTTCTGCCGTCTTTGGATGTGATTCAGCTGCAGTGTTTGACTGGATAGAGAAATTGAAATCAGTTTTGTTTTTTTTCCCCCTCAACAATCTTATATTACAATTTTATGATTACCATTAAAATGGAATGTTTTATTACTGCACAAATACTTTCTAATGTAATAGAATCACAATTCTTGCACAAGAAAACAACTTGTCTTTAACAATTACAAGTAAACAGTCAAAATATAAACTGGTGATACTGTCTTGATGAAAAATTTGGCAGGCATTTGGTGGCCTAGCTAGAAGATAGCAAGGTACACTGAAGGTCAATTCTTTTTATTAAATACAGAGATTTTAGAGGGACTTTGATATAATAGAGAAAACAAATTTTTTTCCACTTTTCTTTCATACAGTTAAAACAGTATATCTAGTATCCTCTGCAATGTCACTAGCATTTTGCATGTGTCCCGGGTTGGGGGATTTTGATGCTCTGTGTAACAGGCAATTGTTCTCTGGTAATCTTCAAAGAACTGCTGGCCTTTGAATCTGCTACTATCAAACGTTCTAGCTTTAATTATCAGATCAACTTGCATTTTTTTTCTTTGTGATTAAGGAGGCAAGAAGCTGAAATGTGCTTATGATTTTGCAAAATACTTGAGATGGTAGGATCCCAAATTTTTAATTTTGTTCTAGAAACAAGAGCTGATCAGATTATAGATGCCTTCAAGCCAAGGAGGGGAATTAATAGATCAGGGGATCAGAGGCACTGAGTGACATGATATAAATGGGTGCTCATGTGGTGTGCTTTATAAAACAACACTGCAATTGTGCCTTTCAGGGTCTCTGCAAGTCATGAACAAAACAAGAAAGATTATGGAGCTTGGGGGGGCCACCTTCATCAACGCCTTTGTGACCACGCCTATGTGCTGCCCATCCCGCTCCTCCATGCTCACTGGGAAGTACGTGCACAACCACAACGTCTACACTAACAATGAGAACTGCTCCTCCCCATCCTGGCAGGCAATGCATGAACCTCGGACTTTTGCTGTGTATCTTAACAACACTGGCTACAGAACAGGTAAAGGATAATAGTTCTAGCCCATAAACCTCTGCTAAAGCCTCTTAGACACAGGAAGATGCACTTTGGAATGAAATATAAGAAGTTCTGGAAAGTCCCTAAGTGGGAGTCATCTAGACTTTTGTGTTCTCAGCATCCTCCTTACTTCACTTTTTACACTGAAGAATGTGTAGAGAGATCCTTTAGAGAAAGTTCAGAATGATCCTCAGTGTTGTACCCACCAGATATCCAGTAGCTGGAGCTTTCCAGAAGAACCCTCAAAAGGAGACTTTTCATTCCATTTGCTTACTTACCTCCAACACATCCTACCCCCAAATCTCAAGGGGTCATAGCACAACCTGAGGCTTAGCTGTTGGTAAATTCCTGTTGATTGTTCGAGTGAGAATCATAAAATGTTTTCAAACTGCTTACCACATGCCACAGAGTCTAAGAGAGAATAGATGATCAAAATTGCTTATTGAAAGAAACCCTGGGGATATATTATTTTTTCCTGAGTATCTCTTAGAATTTGTTTCATTGCTTTTTGTCTTTGAAAGTTGCAGTAAAAAATATAATAACCAAAAAGACAATAAAACACATTGGTACTATGTTAGGAAACAGAATAAAATTATATTCAGCCCTTAAAAGATAATTATTTACTGAATTAATGAATAACCAAAAGAATAAACCAATGGTATGTATACTGCTGTTTCATTTATTTGTTCATTCATAATTTTTAGGTTCTGAAAAGTGTCTTTAGATTAAGTTGTGGTTATTTTTAGATCTCAAGTGTTCACCTCTATCATTTAGGAAAGGAAAACATCCCAATTGCTATACCTACCAACATTGTTTAACCTACGCAGGGCAAGAAGAGATTTTTGGTTAGCTGATTTTTTAAAAATTGGGGTCTTCTTTCAAGAGAGGTGATGAGCATGTGATAGTCTTTTTGAGAAAGAAGCAGTGCTTCTTCTGGCCATATTGCCCACAAGGTCCTTATTCTTCCAGCATTTAGAAGTTGTCCTTGGGTTTTCTGAGTGTTTCTCATGGCAAAAAGGATGTTGATAGAGAGGCTACCATACAAAAATGGTTTTTTTCCAAACCCACCTAGATTTATTCATAACAATTAAAGATATCACCATTATAGCTCATTGATAATGATTTTCAAGTCTACAGATTATTGTGAAGGCTTAAAAGTAAAGGATTTCAGATAAATATATCCCATTAAATCTTTCTCTTTAAAAAATGAAAATAATCTTTTCTATTGGACTCAGTAGACATATGGCCATTTGCTTCTTTGCAGCACGTCCTGTGGGCACTTAATACTTGTTATTTATAGATGAAAATATTGATCATGAGTATGATAGTATTGTCACTCACAGACATTTTAAGATTCCTCATGGAGAAAAGTCCTCCCATGAATTTCCAGAGTGCTTGCTTATGTTTGAGAAAGAAACGGGGTTACACAGAAGGCCTTATTCTAAGTATTTTCTCACATTATTAATTTACATTTATATCACCTTCCATTTAAGGACTCTAAAGCATTAATTTCCAAATCCATCAAACATCCCCATAGGGCTCATAGATGGCAAATGTACTTTACTTTGTTTTATAAGTGGGGTGGGGATTTCAAATAGTATGTGGCCAATTCAGAAGCAGAATCAAAAATAATTTCTTTAATGCTGGTTCTTGATTTTTACCATTGAACTGAGTTTTGCTTATAGGAATAGTTTTGAGAAATCAGTGCCTTTCAACTCCCAGACTCCCTATAGTTTTTTCTCTAGTAGCACACATTGAAGTAGATTGCCCAATCTTCCTTCCAAGGAGTGGCTGGTGAGTTTGAACCACCAGAGCTCCTATAGAACTCGAAGGGTTGGGAAACTTACCATACAAATAGTATTATGTCCATTACAAGAAATGGAGATGTGAGGGTGACAGAGAACCTTGCCAGAACTTACAGTAGTCAACTAAAGATGGCTAATTTGTTTCAGGGGTAAATCTGGAAATAGGAAAAAGAAAAGAGTCAACTTTTGTTTATTTCCAGGCACTGTTCTTAAGTTATCTCAACTAATTCTTATAGCCATCTTGAAAGAAAGATCGATTATCTCCATGTTACTAATGAAGGCAGCAGTGGTGTTTCAGTGGTAGAATTCTCACCTTCCATGAAGGAGACCCGTTTTCATTCCTAGCCAATGCACCTCATGTGTCGCATCACTCATCTGTCAGTGGAGGCTTGTGTGTTGCCATGATGCTGAACAAGTCTCATTGGGCCTTCTAGATAAAGATGGACTAGAACAAAGGCCTGTTGATCTACTTCCAAAAATCAGCCAGTGAAAACCCTGTGGATCACAATGGTCAGATCCATAACCAATCATGGGGATCACAGGCCAGGCAGTGTTTTGTTCTATTGTTCACAGAAGGGGTTTCCGTGAGTTGGAGGCCAATACTATTTAACAACATCATGATTAACTGAGAAAAGATGGAAGTTCTCAAGGATTTCATTTTGCTTGGATCCACAATTAACCCCATGGAAGCAGCAATTAAGAAATCAAATGACTTATTGAATTAGGAAAATCTGCTGCAAAAGACCTCTTTAAGGTATTATAAAGCAAAGATGTCACTTTGAGGACTAAGGTGCCCCCGACCCAAGCCATGGTATTTTCACTCACCTCATATGTATGCAAAAGCTGGACAATGAATAAGGAAGACCAAGGAAGAATTGATACTTTTAAATTATGGTATTGATGAAGAATATTGAATATAGCATGGTCTGCTAGAAGAATGAACAAATCTGTCTTGGAAGTAGTACAGCCAAAATGTTCCTTAGGAGTGAGGATGATGAGACTTCATAGCATGTCCTGTAGACGTGCTATCAGGAGGGACCAGTCCCTAGAGAAGAACATCATGCTTGGTAAAGTAGGAGGAGCTCTGGTGGTGCTGTAGTTAAAGCATTGGGTTGCTAACCCAAAGGTTAGAAGTTCAAACCCACCAGCCATTCTCTAGGAGAAAGATGAAGCAGTCTGCTTCAGTAAAGATTTACAGTCTTGGAAATCCTATGAAGCAGTTCTGCTCTTCCTATAGGGCTGCTATGAGTCAGAATCAACTTGACAGCACCTAACAACAACAGCAATGAAGAGACCAAGATTATGAAAGGCTAATTGTTTAAGGTGACAGGCTAGTCAGTGAAGGAATGAACCCAGCCCATCAGACTCCAACGCCTTTCCTCTTTCCATTATCTTACTTCTTTAAATATGTGTCTATCCTGCCTCATTGTTGTTGTTCCTCACTGTTCAGACACATAAAATATAATAGGATATACAATAAGAGTCAAGCTACTTAAAGTCAAGGTAAATGTTGGTATACAAACTGCCTGCCATGGACTTGTAGAGAAATGCTGCCTCTTTGGAATTAAGCTTCTGGGTAGCAAAAAGTAAAAATAGAAACACCATCTATTACAAAATTCACAGGGTCACCAAGATAAAAACAAATGTTGCTTCTAAGAAGCATAATATTGTTTCATTTCATTTCTACTAAACTACATTGACCCTACAATGGCTTACGAGAATGTGAATAAAATTTACAGATAATTTAGTTTAACTTCCTTATTTTCAGATGAGCAAACCTAGACCAAAAGATTAAAGTCACTTGCCCAAGTGACAATTCTGATGTAATAATGGGTAAAACAGGCACCAGAACCTTGCTCTTCAGGGGTCTTTCCTGTACGCTGCCCTAACCTCAAGGTCGTGTCTAGGATGAGACTATGTGCATGTGGTAGGCTCTCTGATGGAGACTGCCAGTCCTATTTAATGGTCCAGCAGGTCTGCTTCAGTCAGTTGTCTTTGAGAAGAGTAGACTTGCTCCTGGAAACTGAGCCTGATTCTGTAGCCAGTCTTCTTCCCAGGGGTTTATACACTTAGATAATAATGGAATTTGTAGTGAGTCATCTTCCAACGTCAAAGGAATTCCTTAAGGGAAACAAACACTTTTCCATATACTTAGGTAGTTAGGAATAGAGAAGGATGATATGCACTCAGGATAATAAATGTTGATACATATTTTAGTAAATTAGAAAGATTAGAAATTGGAAGACTAAAATGGCAGTGATGGAAGGCTGTAATTTTAATTTATCTTTTTGGAGAAACAGTGACATGTTCCAGATAATTAAGAAATAAAGATGACTTGTGACAATAATTATTGATCAAACCTTGGACTGAGGACCATTTGAAAATATACAAATAAGCACATCAGGATGAGAAGAATCTTAGGAAAATAAGAGAATTGGTAATTTGGTATTGAATGAGCAGTAATTTTTTATGAGACGTAAACTAATGGGAAAAAAGCCAATGTGTAAAGATTTTATTGTTTTCATAATAATGAGTATATGGTTTGGTACATTCAGCTGAGAACCTAATAAAAATAATGAAGGAAACTAAAAATGTATTACACATAGATACCCATTTAGAGAAAATCACAAAGCATCAGTAAGTTTTATAAAAAATAACAACTCAGAAGACAGATGATGAAGAGGCTGATTTGGGGAGGTACCCAGAATACATGGCTTTAAATTAATCAAATTGATCCAATATTATTCTATTTACTATTATATGACACAATTTTTCTTTTTCAGAATGGAGGCATAATTTTGGACTGGCTGGAGCCTAAATTTTTCTAACTTTACTCATGGAAAATATGACTATACAACAGCTTAAATGTTCAAGAAGGGGAAAAATACAGTAACATGTCTATTGCATTTTATGTTCTGATGAGAGAAGTGGGGGTAATATTGAAGTCGTCTATCATAAAAATGCATATCCTGCCTAAATATGCTACTCAAAATATTTTTAGTTTAAACATCTTGCGAGGGCATAGACCTTAATATAAAATCTAGCATAGAGTTTAAGGTAAAAATAATGATCTGTGTTTGAGAGGCTATCGAGGGTTAGAGAAAACCCTGAATGAAGAACTGAGAACAGCTGGAGTTACTTCCTAGCTCCTAGCTTGTGCCCCAAATTTGTTTTAATGAC